AAGGAACACAAATGTTAAGTGAGGAAGGAAATTGTTTCAGCACCTGTAGTCTGTTTTGGTGAAAAGCTGTGAATGCAAACAGGAAATGTGAACTTCTGTTTGTCTCCTCAGGACACATTTTAAAGTCCATTAACAGTTTTTCTCTGCCAACACGGGGGAACAAATAAAAAAAAAAAGAAAAGAAAAGAAAGCTTAGTGGAGCCATAAATGGACCACACAACTGAATGCTGAACTCTTTGGTTTTGGAACTACATGTGAGCCGTCTCACCATGTTACTATAAAAAGATAGTGTGCACTTTTAAGGTATAATGCAGGGACTTCCTTGCTGGCCTTCTCTAACCAGAATCAGGCTCTCATTGCCCCACTAGAATAAGTTCATCACACCTACAGTTTGACTTGTTATCCTCCAATACTCTAAAGAACTGCAGACTAAACCCGGCGCACAGAGACAAACATTGCTGAGTCTTTCTGACTTAAGTTTTTCTTCCGATTCTCACATTTCTCTCTGTGGGCAACTGTGAGAATGAAGTGTTAATTACTGGGCTCGACCGTAAACAATACACGTGTCTCGATGAGAGTCATAGAGCCAGATGACAACTTTGTTCTCTCATCAATAAGCAAAAAAAAACCCAAACCAAAATATAACAACACAAAACACTCATGGCTGTATAAACACACAGAAAAATCACAGCAGCTACAGTCTCACATACAATAACAACTAAAACAAACCCATAAAAGCAACAGATCAGAGGTCGTGACTATTTCACGAACAGCTCATGAGTTTTTAATCACTGAAGGAACAAAGTGTAGGATATTCAACATAAAAAAATGCAGGCACATACCTCCATGCAGATCTGGTAGAGCACTAGACAAGCTGTGTGATTGAAGAGGCGGTTTCGTTTCCAGTTAAACTCCACACAATCCTCCTCCACCTCGTGGATCACTGAGGCAAAGAGAGACACGAAGGAGAGAGGTGAATATCCTTTTAAAACCCAAATCACTGAATTTCTGCTGAGTATTGGGGTGTGTGCACGGACAAACCTTTGATCTTATAGAAAGTCTCGGGTATGAATGCCTGGATGGCTTTGAAGCGCTCCACCACAAAACCCAGAGTGGGAAACTGACAGCTGCCGTATGAGATCAGCTGATTGGCCAGGGACTCTGGGAAGATCTTCTGCAGGCGAAGTGTCTGGAATCGAGTAAAAGATGCACCTATGAAGGGTGCATCAGACATTTGTTGAATCACTGACCTTTGACCCAATCCATTATCCCCACAAAGCCTTCCATGTGCTTAAGAGCGAGTGCTGTGTTACCTATACGCAAGTCCAGCTCCTGGCGGACATCAACTGCATCGCTGACGTTAGCATCAGGCTCTGTTAGAGTCTCACAGGCTCTTCGGATTGAGTTGGGCGTGATCTCAGAAAACTTTGCCCGAAAGACTTGTAAATTTGGCTTCACTGAAAGAAAACAAAATGCAGACAGAGGAGATGTTTTTAGCAGCAGGTTTTTCACATGAAGCCTGAACTTCTGAGGCCTTACACAGTCAACAAAAACATCCAGACTTCTGCTATACCTGCTTTGCAAACATCTATGATTTCGAAGCCAATGTTTTCTCCCTCTCTATCACAATCAGTCCAGATGACCAAGGCCTGGCACAGCCTCACCTCCTTCTCTAGCGTTCGCTATGTAAGAAAAAAAGGACAGAGAAAAGGAAAGTGAGGAGAGGAAGAATGTTATAGCAGTTGACTTAATGAACAGTAAACTTTGAACTGAAATACAAAATAATCATTTATTTCAGTAGATGTTTCCTATTATTAGGAGGACAGTTAACGAGCCTACCTTAATCTGTAACATATTATCCGGACAATATTTCTCTACTTCTGCATCAAACAGCAGCACCGGATTGCAGCTGTGCCTTTGGAGAGAAAAGGATAAAAAACAATAAGCTTTTTCTGTTAGCGTGTTTGATGCTTTATACCCCCAAAAAACAAAATTTTTAAACTTACCATTTCTGAAATGGCGCTTTAAACTCCAGACCCAGTAAATGCCCTGATACTGATGTCATTGAGACAGTCACATTCTGGTGAAGGAAGCACAGGGACAAAAATCAGACACAAAGCGAAACGCCAAAGAACAGACATTTAGGTAAATGTATGAAATTTTCCTTACTTGCCCAAAGAGATGATATTCATACTCATAGATTTTATTAAACTTCGACATTCCTTCCCTCTAAAATAAAAAAACAAGACAATGAGTGCTGGAGCAACCAAAGATTTGTTGTTGTATTGTCAGATGTATAGATGGAGAAATCGGTATGGTTGACAAGTCAAACTGTACAGGCGTTTCTTATTTTGCTCACCATATTTATGTAAGCTACACAATACAAATGTGTCTGTCAGAGATCTTGTTATTGTGTATATATGTACTTTTTCCCTGCACATATTATTTAAATGGAGTTTAATTTACTCGAGTTTAAAATACATCTTTGTTTATCAAATGACCAAAAATAACAGACAAATTCACAGAAACAAGTAACACAATCTCACTGCTGGTCCAGCTATATGTGGGACCAGTTGTGCTTCTGTGAGTGTTCATCCTCCCAAAGGCCTGTTTTTAGCCAGGAGAAACCCTGATATATCACAGTTGTTACTCACAACAATAACATATCCCAGGGTTGTAGAAAGGTGCCTGTCATAAAGCCATTCTTAAGGAAGTAAACAAACCCAAACTTGAAATTTCTTACTCAAATCTCTTCAGCATGTACAGAGGAAATCAGCCTGTCTACAGCTATCTGTAAGACACGGTGGAGGCTCTGCCATGGTTTGGGATTTCATTTCAGTCAGTAATGTTAGGGAAATTATAAATACAGAATTGGATGGATTAGATTTGATCCATTCTAACAGTACGATCTCTGAAAATGTCCAATTGGCAACAGCTTCATTTTCAGCATGACAATATTCCCAAACACACTGCTAATGCAGTAAAAGCGTTCCTGGATAGAAAAACACACACACACACACACACACACACAATGGAACATCAGTCATGGATTGGCCTCCCAAGAGCCCAGACCTCAACATTATTGAGGATGATCCCACACTGAGATCAGGATGATCTCAGTGTGGGATCATCCTGAGAGAGAACAGAATAAAAAATGCCTTATATACTGTATTTCCATGTATGTTTGTGTATGTTTACGTAGCAAAATATAAAGAAATGATAGGTGGCTCAAGACTTTTTACCAGTGCTACACATTTTGGAACTGATAGAGAGTTGACACATTAGCCTGGCAGATTTGTCTGTCTGAGGTGAGTGTGTGTGAGGGGATGTGACTGACCCTCCTGGCCCTGCCGCTGGACATAATTTCAGAGATCCCCTTAGCAGCATCATTTTTCTCGGCCACGCAGAGGACCCGACGGATCTGCCCCCGGCTTCGGATCATGTCTGCCTCCTGCTGCAATGTGTCCTGGAGGACACTCTGCGCCGCACAGAAATACCTCCGCTGGACTCCCGGCCGCCGTAGTCCCGATAAAAGCACAGATCTCCTGAGGAGACACGCTACTAGCATACCCGCTCTCACGTGAAGCAGCCGGCTCAACGGACAGCTTCAGCGCTGTTCTCGTCCCATTTTGTTAGCATGCTAGCTGATGCGGGGAGCTACATATTATCAGCTCCCAGGAACTTCAACAAAGAGCAAAAAAGGCAACCAAAGCTTGACTAACTTCACTTCCCACAAATAAAACAGCGAACAAAGAGGAAATATATGCCTGCCACACGAAAATTACCAACAATTAGCAATAAAAAAAACGAAGAGGACCTTAGACACAGGAACACTCTTACTTCTGTTTACAAAATCCGCGCCTGCCTGTCAAAACTGCCGTCATCAAGGTCGGAACACTGTCGCAAATATCCTGACGCAAAACCTCAAATGAAAACCTTAAAACAGGCTTAGAAAGAATATTACAATACGTCCATTCAATTTTACTTTTGTCTAGATGTGTAGCATATGTTTTATTATTAGTTTTTTTTTATAGAATAACTCTAACGCAATGTTACTCGGTTGTTAAAAAAATAAAATACACTATAAATACACCCATTTTTTACATGCCAGAATAACTTACTATTGGTAATTTGGAGTTTGATCATTGGGTTTTACTTTCTAGAATATATTACATTGTTTTTAAAAAAAAAATCTCTAAAATGTAAAATTGATAATTAATTAGTAGCTTTTAAGGCTCTATAATAATTTTGGGGGGGGGAAACCCCCCAGATCTTATTTCCTAATATGTATTTATACCCTTGGAGTGCTTTAAACCTCTATATTGACGAATTCAAATAAAATAAAATAAACTGAATTGAATTTCGGTTTCAGGGTCGATTTCCTTCACACGGGACTTACGTTGATCACGTGACCGGGCGGCAGGCAGCTGAGTAAACATGGCGTCCGTGTCTGACTGTGGGAATTCAGTGCAGCGCTTCAAGCTGTAAGCGGCGTTTCTGCGGCCCCGGTGTTTGAGCCACGGACTCAGAAATTACCGTGATACAGGGGAGACGTGAAGACTTGAAGAGGAGGAAAGAACAAGCTCTCCGCTAAAGCAGCTTTATCCTCTTTTCTCCTTCTTGCACAGCAGGGATGGCCTGATGCCTCCTAGCACGCTGTGATTGGCGCTGGATAATTGCTTTTGTTAACACAGACGCTGATTTGTGTTTCTGTGAGTCAGCTGCTTTCTTTCTTTCTTTCTTTTTTAAAATAAGCGATCCTCTTCTGTGGACTAAACTATGCAGGGGCGCAGATGCCTTTAGGGACACCTGTGTCCCCCCGCTTTATGACTTATATAAAACAGATTGATTTTCTTGGACCCGTTTCAAGTCGCTTAATCAGCATCACCTGGCGAGGTGCTTTATGGACTGTGTGAGTGCAGGATGACCAATTTAACTGTTTTTTAAGGCTATTAGTGGAACTGCACTCGTGTCTCGTGTTTCTCATGTCTTGCTTAGAAACACCACTATGATAGGCTCCCCGGATGTGGTGGCTTTCGCTAAAGAGGACGAGTATGGGCAGACCAGTCCTGATCCCTGGCCTCTCTCAGAGGAGTTCTCTGTCCCCCTCTATCCTCTGGCTGACTCCAACCCCTGGGCCAAAACCTCCTATGCCAAGTTCACCAAAGACTTCATCCTCATCTCAGAGTTCTCTGAACAGGTGGGCCCACAGCCTCTCCTTACTATCCCAGATGATCCCAAAGTCTGTGGCACTTTCGACCTCAACTACTTCTCCCTGCGCATCATGTCAGTGGACTACCAGGCCTCCTTCGTGGGGCATCCGCCTGGCACTGGCTACCCAAGGCTCAGCTTTGTGGAGGACTCCAGGGTGGTGTTGGGCGACTCGAAAGAGGGGGCATTTGCCTACGTGCATCACCTTACCCTTTATGACCTTGAGGCGAGAGGCTTCGTGCGGCCCTTCTGCATGGCCTACGTTGCAGCAGATGAAAAGAAGATCATGCTGCAGTTTCAGGAGCTTTCTCTTCGCTTCTCGCAGGCTTCAGAGTGCCTGAAGGCCGGGAACAGGAGAGCATTTGCCAAGGAACTCCAGAGGAAGCTCCGAGACCTTGAGTAAGAATGCCAGCGCAACCTTAACTGTTCTCCTACATACAGTTTAAAAAGACTTCATCCAAATGAGAAGTTTACATCAGATAGTTGTATTCAGATTCTCAGTGAGCAGGATTTCTTGGCAGCTTGATCTACTGATGTGTGCTAGAATGATGCTTCTGTGTTTCTGTGGGCTAGAAGGATCAGGGATGGGTGTCATTGTAGAGTACTGACACTCTATAACACAAACAGGTGCTCTAAATAGAAGGTAGGGGATTCTCAACCCTTAAAGGAAAAACCTTGTGTGTTTGGACATTTAGCCAGCAGAAAATAAGTGATGAGAGATTAGTTTGATTTGATATAATTTGATTAACTAGTTTGATTTGAACTGTGGGGCTGAGTTTTGGCACAGCTGTTATTTGAATCAAATGTTAACATGATGGCATTAAAAATATGAGTAATCTGATATTTAATTGATACTATGTTGATAGGTTTCAAAATATTTTTAAACTGCTATAATGCTAAATTAAATGTGAGAGGATTATCCTGTCCTCCGGCGACAATGTGCCCTCACCAGACACTTTATTAGGCACATCTTTGAAGCACCGTGTTGGCCCCCGTTTTACCTTCAGAACAGCTTTAAATCTTCATGGTTTAGATTCAGCAAGATGCTAGAAGCTTTTCTCAGATTTTGATCCGTATTGACATGAGAGCATCACACAGTTACTGCAGATTTGTCGCATGGACATCTGTGATGTGAATCTCCTGTTCCACAGGAGAGCTTCCACTGAGATCTGGTGACTGTGGCAGCCGTATGAGTACAGTGAGCTCATTGTCATGTTCAAGAAACCAGTTTGAGATGATTAATGTTTTTTGAAATGATGTTATTCTGTTGAAAGCAGCCATCAGATGATCACTGTAGTCATAAAGGGATGGACATGGTAAGCAACAACACTCAGGTGGACTGTGACGTAACAAGAAACTGTAGCCTCAGTTTTTTGTTCTTAGCTGACAGGACCCAGTGTGGTCTTCAGCTGCTGTACATGTTGTGCGTTCAGTGACTTTCCTCTGCATAACTTGGCTGTAACAAGCAGTTATTTGAGTAGCTGTAGCCTTCCTGCCATCTGGAAGTTCCCCTTTGGTGTCAAGAAGACATTTTCTCCCAGAGAACTGTCGCTCACTGGACATTTTCTGTTTTTCAAACCAGTCTCTGTAAATCCAAGAGATGTTTGTGTGGCACAGTCGGTAGTAATAGCAGTCGCTTCTAAAATATTTCAAACATTCCTTAAATGCTTTGAGTTGCTGCCACGTGATTGACTGATTAGATATTTGAACAGCTATATTTCGTAAAGTGGCCTGTGATTGTATTTCTGTACAGAATTTAATCCATTTTGTAGCTGTCAAAAAATCCATTTGACCATTGATTAATGTATTGGTAAAATCAGTTAGCAGATCAATACAGATATCATTGGAGCCACAATAATAGCATTGCTAGAAATAAAATGATCCCCACTCTGCTCCAAGATGTGGGTCTCAGCCGCAGGTATCCAGTGTTTCCTGTGCTGGGTTAGTCTTATCCTGTTGTGTCAGGTAATATTTATATCCCTGTGTGGAAAAACAGGTCGATCACTATCTCTGTTGTGCTCTCCTCAGGTACACTCACTCTGTGCTGCAGCGGGAGGAGGGCCTGCAAAGAGAGGCGGGGCCTCAGAGCATGTACTCTGCTCATGCTGTGGAAAAGGCCAACGAACTGGCCAATGTGGAAAAGAGCATTTTTGAACACAGGGACTTGCTGAAGCAGATCAGCTCCTACCACCGCCGTCCACGACGGGATCCTCACGCTGTCACCTGCCAAAAGTGTGTGGACGAGTGCTTGAGTGAGTGCGAAGAGCTGCTGAACAAATACGCCAAGATTGCCTACCCTTGTGGTTACAGTGAGAAAGCGGGGAAAGGAGAGGATGGACAGGGTCATCCTCGTGGACAAGGTGAAGATGATGATGATGATGATGAGGAGGAGGGTGTTAAACGCAAGCTCTCCTACACGCCACAGCTGATCAAAGCTAAATCTGCCAAATGTTTTGACAAGCGCCTGAAGACCCTGCAGGAGCTGTGTGACAAGACTTTCTATGAGGCCACTGTGGAGCTCCTGAAGGAGACAGAAAGAAGTTTCCGGGGTGACCTGTGTTACCTCTACACACGCCGCCTGGACAAGGCACTGCAGAGAAAACAGAGAGTCACTGCCTTTTTGTTTGAGGAGGACCTCAGTGATGATGACGAGGATGAACTGGGAACACTAAGACCATTCTGTGCTGTGAACCATGCTGTAGATAATTATGTACTCTTAAATCCGCCTCCTATTGTTCTGACACCAGAACCTCATGAGCTGGATGCGCTGGAACGTCCGGAGCATCTAGACCCGGCTTCTGAGACCAGTGTTACTCAGGAGAGTGAGCTCGGACTTGGGGAGAGTCATCTGGAGTCCTCTCCTTCAGACCAGACTCTTGAAACCCAGGAGAGCTCAGAGGAGACCAAAGGAAGCTTCAGCAGTGATAAGAGTGGAGTGGGTCTAGCAGAGATGCAGCAGGGTCTGGTTAGTATGAAGTCAGAAGCGCCTGATCCTGACTCTGACTTGACCCCTGACCCAAACCATAACCTGGAGAGAGAGAGCAGCAGTGAAGAGATGGAGACAACTGCAGGGGAGGATGAAGGTGAGAATGGTGGACACCAGACACCCGTGTCTTTGTTGGAAGTGGTGTCTGAGCTTGAGGCCAACCGGGAGGAGGAGTGCGAAGGAGTAAGTGGGTCTGAGTTGCTGGCTCCGATAGACACAGCATGCTGTATGGCCCAGGAGGGTTTCCTCTATGAGGCTTCTGCCCCAGAGGCGGTGCCTCGTCTCTGCCAAAACTCCCATCTGCAGCCCTCTCAAACTCTTGTGGTCAGCCAGGAACCCCAGGCCCTCCTTCCACTCCAGGATGACTACACTGTCGGCTCTCCGTGCTCGGAGAGCCCTGTGACTGGGTTGGAGCTGCCTAGCGGCCTCCTTGGAGATGCAGTTTCCCGTACTTCGGCGGAGGATGGGTCAGACTGCACCATGAGTGCCTCCACGGGGTCCGATCAGACCGCGTCACCTCTCGGCTATGGGGCGGTGGTGACCTTGCGTCAGAGGAAGAAGGCTGGCCAAGGAGCCTTGAGGTTTGTGCGTCAGTACCCCTTTGCCATCCAAGCCCTGTGGTGCCTGCTGAGTGGCAGAACCCTGGTGGTGCTCGGGGCAGACGAGGGGAGAGTCCGCCGGTTGGTGGCGGCTCTGGCTCTCTTCGTACCGGCTCCGGGGAAGTGTGGAGAGAGGGTTCAAGCTTGGTTGTCCTGTCCCTTCACCCTGACTGACCTGCAGAGGTGGAAACTCATTGGATTGCAGAGGTATGAATGGAGTCAAACTCTGATGCACTTCGGTATTATAGGTAGTTAATCACAGACATTCATACTTTCTAAGCTCAGGTAGGGTAGTACTAGGTAAATGAAACCAGTGAGTGATGATGCTTTTAACAAAGATTAAATAAAGCATAAAGTTTGCTTTTCACAGAACCTTAGCAAGTCTCCATCAATGTGAGGTTTGAAGTGACTGTTTATTCTACATTTTCTTGTTTGTGTTGCGCCGTACGCTACTCTTACTCATCCCCCGTGACTCACACTTTGATGACTCACACAGCCAAGCATACACGCAATACAACCTTGAGCACATCTGTCCCTGAACTTCTTTTTCTACTCATCTTTCTGGTGACAGCGTGGGCTGCGAATCCCCCAAAGTCATTCACACAAGATGGGGATCCAAGGCGACTGAGTGTATTTGTTACACTCATCCAGTTGATACATACACAACACGTATAACATTCAGAATTGTGCAATGCTAAAGCTGTGCAGCAGGTAATGTAGCACTACAGTGAAATCATTCATAAGTAGATAAAGTATCAGAATTGGTACATAAACTCTTTTATTATTAAAAGACTTGCCTTTTTGAATGATCTTAGTGTGAAATCACAAATCATTAATCCTCCATTTAGAAGTCAACTTTAAAAGTCTAAAGACTCAGAAAAATTACAGTCTATTTAATTCAACTCTCTATCACCAAATCACAACAGTCACTTCAAGGTGCTTTATATTGCAAGGTAAAGATCCTACAATAATACAAAGAAAACTCCAACATTAGGAAATCATCTGTGAGAAAGCACATGGCAACAGTGGGAAGGAAAAACTGCCTTTTACCAGGAAGAAACTTCCAACAGAACCAAGCTCAGGGAGGGGGAGCTATCTGCCAAGAGTAGTTATGAGTAAGGGGAGGGAGACAGGACAAAAACACATTGTTGAAGAAAGCCAGAGATTATTTTTTTCAGTAAAAGGACTACATGTTGCAATCCCTGACAATGCAGATTACATGCAGAGTGTTGTGTAAACACATATTGAGTGAAGAAGAAACGCCCAGTGCACCATGGGAATCCACCAGCAACTTGAGGCTGTTGCAGTGTGACAAAAATAAGGGTGGGTTGAGGTGACCTGATCCAGCCCCAACTATGTGCTTTATCAAAAAGGACAGTTTTAAACCTAATCTTTAAAGTAGAAAAGGTGTCTGTCTCTTGAATCCAAAGTGGGAGCTGGTTCCACAGAAGAGGGGCCTGGGAGCTGAAGGCTCTGCCTCCCATTCTACTTTTAAATATCCTACTTTTCTTTTTTTTTTAATATGCAGATTGAAGGATATATATTCTGGTCAGAAAAAGACTCAAAGATTCCTCACGGTGTTACTTTACAATGAAGTAAACAAGAAAAGGGGAGAACATTAACTAATCTCAAACACCTGGTAGCATAGTTAGATTGGTTACACAAGTTACTGTATATAACAAACAGCTGGGCAGTGCAGTGGTGTATCAGTCAGCTTGAACCTGTCCAAAGACCAATATGAAGTGGCTGTTTATAGGACCGTAAACGGCTATCCATCTTCCTGTGTTTGCCTGTTTTTAAAAATAAATATATATTTTAAAAAAAAGCCAAATCAAAAACGTAGGTAAACAGCTGAACAGATGTTGCCTTGAATGCATGAAATTAAATGAGTCACGTGCAAATAAATTGTAAGTGGATGAGAGTTAAATATCCAAACCCAGTTGCTACCCAGTTGATGGTGCTATCAAAGGGATAAAAAATGTATTCCTTGATCTCCCCAGCTCTGTGCAACTGTAGCTGTCCTTGGACTGTTAAAGTAACATTTAGGTTTTCTTGCTCTGAAGACAGTTTGTAGTCTTGCTTATAGCCAGAAGTATATAAAAAAACAAAAAGTAAAACCTTCAAAATGCATCTAGTGATTGAAATTCTGACATAAAACAGCAGTTTTCCAAAACTGTAATACAGGCCAAATTGGAAAATTGTGTAACTGAAAATTCAAATGCCTAATGGGATTGTTTTTTTAATTAATGGCTCCACAGAGCCCTTAATTTGGTGCTTTTACCCACTTTTAAAATATTGTTTCAGTTATCTGCTGCACTGTACATCAGATGTGATTTTTGTGTCCCATCAGATTGTTCTCATTAGTCTAATTGTTTTTCCAAATACAGCCCTTTCCATACTGGGTTTAACTATTACATGCACATGCTACAGTATAGTTTGGCCTGTGATTATATTCTGTTAGGTGGTTGCTAGGCAAAATAGAGATATCATAATGTATCATGCATACGTTTTTTTTTTTGTTTTGTTTTAGAGATTAGGTGTTATTGGCATAAAATTAAAAATGACCTTGTCCTTTACCAGGTGTTATAGGTGCATAAACCCTACACAGGTAATTTTTGCCAGTTGCTAGGCAATGTGATGATGCCAAAAATAAGGGAGGATGCAATGAGATGAATTTTCAGGAGCCTGAAATGTTCCAAGTGTGGTTGCTGAACTCCTGATAGTTCCTTTTATCATGAGACTCATGAGTAGCATTCAGAATTGCCTTAGTTGTTTTTGAGTAACGGGAGAGAGGGAGAACTAACAAGGATCGCTGTCTCGCTCTCTTCCCCACAGGGTCGCATCCCCGCTGGGCTCTAGCATGCTTTACTCGCTCTCCCGCTACAGCCGCTACATCTCCATCCTGGACGCTGACCAGAAGACCTTGCGCTGCCCGCCGTATCGTGGCCAGCTGCTCGCTAACATCGCTGACCACCGCACCTACATCCGCCGGGGCTCCACCTACTTCCTCCACTTACAGAGTACGCTCTGTCACCTAGCGGCCAAGGCCTTCTTGTTCACTTTCACCCATCACCTCCACCTGCCAGTCAGCGCCACCGAGGGGCCCGAGGTCGTGGAGAGCCGCCGCCGGTGCTTCCTGCAGGAGCAGCTGGGGCTTGGCGAGGAGGACAGCCAGATACTGCTCTACCTCAGTCAGCTCATCACTCAGCAGTACCTACAGCCCAATGGCAGTAGTGCAGCAGCACCGTCTTTTAGTTTTAACTACACCACCAGCATTTTATATAAGATCTAATACTACACAGGGAGGAGGATTGTTACATTTTTGCAGAATTCATCTGTGATATTTCACTTTTTAATGGACCAAATGTGATCTTAATAAGGTCTAAGGTCAGTTTAGTTTCAGGACAAAACTCACTGCACTGGTTATTGTTTTATCTGTGCTCCATCTCCCCGTCTCTCTCTGCCTTGCTGTCTTTTTCCTTCGGAGCAGAGAGAAGGATACAGAGTGAGTTGTGACTGTGTGAGTGGATCACTTGAGTGTATTCGATCTGGAGCATATTGACGCAGCCACCGAGCAGAGCAACAGAGCGCACACACACACACACACACGCACACGCACACACACACCTGTTAAATGTTACAGAACTCAATCTGACGCCACTGCTCGTGTGTGCTCAGCCGGCAGCTTGCAAGCAGGTTCGGTCTCAGCTAAGTGTCAACACCTACCAGTCACGGAGCAGTTTGTCAGCTTTGACTTCATTCGCGCTATATGTAAACATGTTTTTCAGGCTTATGGGAACAACCTCACATATGCTGACACTTTGTGCCCATCGAGGACAGACGTCTGCTTACGACACCTAATTAGCACCGCGGAGGCTTATTACAGCAGGTTTTCGTGACATTCCTATCTATTTGAAAATCACCGCAGAACTTTCAAAGGTCAAAACACTTTAATTTTCTTCGTTTTGCACATCCACAGTTATTTTTCATCCTCTCTTTGTTATGAATTAATTTTAAAGCACATTCCTGCACAGATGAATGTCCTGCTACAGTCTGAATTTGACCGAGTTAGACTTAACCTGTGAGAGCACTAAGGGCTGCTGGGTTGCTCATGCATGAAGAAGTTAGAAGAACTTGGATTCATTCAGCTCCATGTGATAAGTTGCATGTACTGTAATTGCACACGAATTTAACCATGTATAGAGCCAGCAGCTGCCGAAACCTGTTGGTATTCACTCCTGCTGAGCATTTTCACTATTATTATTCCTCACACAGTCAGGAAGATTTTATAGCCTCTTAACCTAAATGTATTCGATTTCACTGTTGTCTTAAACTTGTGTGAGGCTGTCGTGGTGTTGGGGTGTTCGCTGTACTGATAATCTTTTCGGTTTCGTCGTGTTTAGATGAAGTGACTTTGACCAGACGCTGAACAGTTTTGAGGACGCTTTTTGTTTTGTATAGTTTTTATTATGAGAGGAAATTCTTTCTCATGCCATCCGGGGTTTGATTTCAGACAGTTGCCTGTCCTTTATTTAACAAACCTTTGCTGGGGATGTGTTCTGAACAAGTCTCTGTTGTGTATTTATTGTTATTTTTGATTCTGACCATTTGTCTGTGATTTGTGCACATTTGTGTTTGGACAATTGAAGAAGTAAGACATTTTAAAGTGGCTGTATTATTATTCTAATTTACAGAACCATGCTTTCATTGCTGAGCTCCAGTAGTGTAACTTCCCACGATTCACACAGTAGTCTGTATTTATCTTACTTTAAATTGGGCACCTTAGTTCATCCAGTGTGTGAAACAAGCTGTCCCTTTTAGCCACCTTCCTGCTGATTGGCTGCTCTTCACCTGACTTTTACTACAGAATCTGGTGCAGGTGACTGGCGCCATCTCCATGTACCCATTTATAAAGTTCTGAAAACAAACTGTAAGCCTATTAAAATGCACAGTTTCACGACTTCCCGATTCGATCCAGAAGAAGAAGATAGTGAATTTAAGGTTTTACAGACAAGTTTACGCTGTCTGCTTATTGTGGGACAGAACACTGGATATTTATTTCAGTGTTTGCACAAAGTATATCCTCTTTAATAGTTGTATAGATGAGGAAAGTGGCTGAAATTGACACTAAAGTGGAAAACTGTAAAGAAATACCAAAGGTATGTATGTGGCCAGTAAAGTGTTCTGACAGTAAAGTATAACTGCTATTACTTCTAATCAAAGCTCGCAAGCTTTAGCATAACTGCAAGAGCAGCTTAGCTAAATGTAAATGTGCCCTTCATTGTAATTACTAACTTACAGGTCACTTATAGCCTGGGGTTCGGACTCCTCAACCTTTAAGCATAATAGGTCCACTTTAATTATTGAAGTTATATTGGCCAGTAATGAAGAAGCGTCCTCGACAGTGTCTTTAAATTTTATTGTTCCTAGTTCTGTGGCGTCAGTGATTGGAGCTGTCATGGTAACTGTACTTGTGAATGCATGGTTTTAATGTGAAAGGTCAAACAGCATAGGATCAAGTCTGCTGTCTTCTAACTACAATCAAGGCTTTTAAAACAATTGACAGCAATCTGAAAATTTTAAAATTCCATTCAGTGTATTATTTCCGTTTAGTGCAGTTCGGGCTTAGTGATTATCATTCTTTTGCTGCATGTGATGTCTGTTTAAAGCGCTTGAAAGCTACTTTTTGTTTCTGCTCAAATGTTACAGCATTTGTTTTTTGTTTTTTAGTAGCTAATGTCTCCCTAATGCAAAAAGGTGAATGTAATCTGAAAAAGCCATACCACAGTGTGCTTAACATGTTGTCACTCAGTGTCCTTACGTTGCCATATCATGTCTACCTTTCATCATGAGGGGGCGCTGAGCTGTCTTCCGCTCCGTACGGCGGTGTGTTTGCCAGTGACCTGAATAAAGCACGTTGTGAATGTCTTGATGTTTTTAATGCCATGTTGATGATATTCATTTATTAAATTATTTTTTTGCCTGATTAAGCACTTGTAATCGTGTTGATAATGCTGAACCTTACTGTGAGAAACTGCAAAGACAGACCAGCACAACCCGCAGTACAAATCACCCTTAAGCAGGACAGAGACCAGCAGATTTGTGTCTGCGTGAGTGGCTTTAGTGATGGCAGAGGTGTCAGTGTTTGAGGTGTCATGAATAATAAATGTTCAGCTGTGAATACATCTAATTGCAATGCTGGAGCAGCAGAAGGAAAAGTGGCTGAGGGTGGAGAAAGTGCCAGTAAATGAATAATGTGGGGAGAAAAAAAGTCTGCACCAATACAGAAATGATTCCTCTTGATTTTATTTCCATGCTCTGCAGGAAGTGAACGTGTGGGCAGGTCAGTGTCTAACTTGTGATGTTTGGTTCAGTCTTTAATGATCAAATGATTTTGTAGGGAACATGCTTTGATGTCTCTGGTGTTTGTTGTTTAGCATCTTGGTAAAATTCAAAGACGATAAACTGTCTTCATTATATCTTGCTTTTGAGAATATGTTTTTTGGAAGAAATATATAAATGTTTAGTACTGTGCAAAAGTATCAAGTCGCTCCTCATTTCTCTATATTTAGCTAGGAAATGGAAATATAGGTGCATATATATATATAAAAAAAAAACAGTGTGCAATTCTAACAAGCTTGAAAGTCAAAATTTGGTACGATCACCTTTATTCTTCAACACACTTATTCTCTCTAAGGCAGTTTTTTTTTTTTTTTTTT